GTTGTTTCACCAGCACTAGCAGCTCCTCTGCCTTGGGCGTGAAGCTGCTGGGAACTGGGAAGAGGAAATAAAAAAATCAATTGCTTTGAGAATTCCCCCCGAGCCTGTAACTGGGGATTTACCCGCCCCCACAACGGGCTAGAGAAGGCATTGCAGGCTGGACTCGGCTTTATCCAGCCCAGGGCACGAGGGAGACGGGCACTGTGGGATTGCCTTGGCGCTAACCCCTGCTTGGTGGGAGGAAGGCATTGGGGGCTTGCTGGTCCCTGGTGGGGGCAACAAGGGTACCGTGGCCCAACGTGTGAGGGGGCGCTGTGAGACGCCCCCCTTGGCGTAAGGGGGCAAGGCGCTGTGGGGCGCCGCCCTTGGCGTGAGGGAGCAGGGCGCTGTGGGCCGCCCCCCGGCGTGAGGGGGCAGGGCACTATGGGGCACCCCCCTTGGCGTGAGGGAGCAGGGCGCTGTGGGCCGCCCCCCGGCGTGAGGGGGCAGGGCACTATGGGGCACCCCCCTTGGCGTGAGGGAGCAGGGCGCTGTGGGCCGCCCCCCGGCGTGAGGGGGCAGGGCACTATGGGGCACCCCCCTTGGCGTGAGGGAGCAGGGCGCTGTGGGCCGCCCCCCGGCGTGAGGGGGCAGGGCACTATGGGGCACCCCCCTTGGCGTGAGGGAGCAGGGCGCTGTGGGCCGCCCCCCGGCGTGAGGGGGCAGGGCACTATGGGGCACCCCCCTTGGCGTGAGGGAGCAGGGCGCTGTGGGCCGCCCCCCGGCGTGAGGGGGCAGGGCACTATGGGGCACCCCCCTTGGCGTGAGGGAGCAGGGCGCTGTGGGCCGCCCCCCGGCGTGAGGGGGCAGGGCACTATGGGGCACCCCCCTTGGCGTGAGGGAGCAGGGCGCTGTGGGCCGCCCCCCGGCGTGAGGGGGCAGGGCACTATGGGGCACCCCCCTTGGCGTGAGGGAGCAGGGCGCTGTGGGCCGCCCCCCGGCGTGAGGGGGCAGGGCACTATGGGGCACCCCCCTTGGCGTGAGGGAGCAGGGCGCTGTGGGCCGCCCCCCGGCGTGAGGGGGCAGGGCACTATGGGGCACCCCCCTTGGCGTGAGGGAGCAGGGCGCTGTGGGCCGCCCCCCGGCGTGAGGGGGCAGGGCACTATGGGGCACCCCCCTTGGCGTGAGGGAGCAGGGCGCTGTGGGCCGCCCCCCGGCGTGAGGGGGCAGGGCACTATGGGGCACCCCCCTTGGCGTGAGGGAGCAGGGCGCTGTGGGCCGCCCCCCGGCGTGAGGGGGCAGGGCACTATGGGGCACCCCCCTTGGCGTGAGGGAGCAGGGCGCTGTGGGCCGCCCCCCGGCGTGAGGGGGCAGGGCACTATGGGGCACCCCCCTTGGCGTGAGGGAGCAGGGCGCTGTGGGCCGCCCCCCGGCGTGAGGGGGCAGGGCACTATGGGGCACCCCCCTTGGCGTGAGGGAGCAGGGCGCTGTGGGCCGCCCCCCGGCGTGAGGGGGCAGGGCACTATGGGGCACCCCCCTTGGCGTGAGGGAGCAGGGCGCTGTGGGCCGCCCCCCGGCGTGAGGGGGCAGGGCACTATGGGGCACCCCCCTTGGCGTGAGGGAGCAGGGCGCTGTGGGCCGCCCCCCGGCGTGAGGGGGCAGGGCACTATGGGGCACCCCCCTTGGCGTGAGGGAGCAGGGCGCTGTGGGCCGCCCCCCGGCGTGAGGGGGCAGGGCACTATGGGGCACCCCCCTTGGCGTGAGGGAGCAGGGCGCTGTGGGCCGCCCCCCGGCGTGAGGGGGCAGGGCACTATGGGGCACCCCCCTTGGCGTGAGGGAGCAGGGCGCTGTGGGCCGCCCCCCGGCGTGAGGGGGCAGGGCACTATGGGGCACCCCCCTTGGCGTGAGGGAGCAGGGCGCTGTGGGCCGCCCCCCGGCGTGAGGGGGCAGGGCACTATGGGGCACCCCCCTTGGCGTGAGGGAGCAGGGCGCTGTGGGCCGCCCCCCGGCGTGAGGGGGCAGGGCACTATGGGGCACCCCCCTTGGCGTGAGGGAGCAGGGCGCTGTGGGCCGCCCCCCGGCGTGAGGGGGCAGGGCACTATGGGGCACCCCCCTTGGCGTGAGGGAGCAGGGCGCTGTGGGCCGCCCCCCGGCGTGAGGGGGCAGGGCACTATGGGGCACCCCCCTTGGCGTGAGGGAGCAGGGCGCTGTGGGCCGCCCCCCGGCGTGAGGGGGCAGGGCACTATGGGGCACCCCCCTTGGCGTGAGGGAGCAGGGCGCTGTGGGCCGCCCCCCGGCGTGAGGGGGCAGGGCACTATGGGGCACCCCCCTTGGCGTGAGGGAGCAGGGCGCTGTGGGCCGCCCCCCGGCGTGAGGGGGCAGGGCACTGTGGGGCGCCCCCCTTGGCGTGAGGGGGCAGGGCACAGTGGGATGCCCCCCCTTGGCGTAAGGGGGCAGGGCGCTGTGGGGCGCCCCCCTTGGCGTGAGGGGGCAGGGCGCTGTGGGACGCCCCCCGGCGTGAGGGGGCAGGGCGCTGTGGGACACCCCCCACCCCGGCGTGAGGGGGCAGGGCGCTGTGGGGCACCCCCCGGTGTGAGGGGGCAGGGCACTGTGGGGCACCCCCCTTGGCGTGAGGGAGCAGGGCGCTGTGGGACGCCCCCCTTGGCGTGAGGGGGCAGGGCGCTGTGGGACGCCCCCCGGCGTGAGGGGGCAGGGCGCTGTTCTCCATGGCCCTGTGTCCAGAGAGCTGGGGGGGCCTTAACACCTGCGCCTAGTCGCACCGCGGGTGGGAGGGGAAGCCTTGAAACTGCCCCTCCTGCGCTTTTTTCCCGCCTTTTTCCAACGGCTGCTGCTGCCCCGCCCCCTCCGGGGCTCGTGCCG